TATATATATATATTAAGATTTTTAATAAATTTTATTGAAATATTAAAGAAAGTGTAAGAAATATGTTTTTAAAATGAAATTTGAAATTTAATAATTCTCGATGATATTAGTTTAAATTTGAAAAAAAAATTGTTACATTTAGCAAATATTCAAAATAATAAAAAGTTTTGAATAAGATATTTTATTAAAGATATTTTTAAAATTTGGATCATTATTTTATTTTCATTTTATGTAAATAAAATATGTTATCAAATGGTTGCCTTCTAAAGATCACCCATCAATTTTATCAGTTGACTTTTCGACAAGTCTTGCGAACAGACGAACCAACTGACTATTTAAAGAAATACAAAAATTTTAATCCTTTAATTTAACGTTTTTTGAAAACTGAAAATAAATTCTCAACAATCTTGAAAATCGTGATACTCAGTTTCCATAAATTTATTCATCCTCAGCATCCTTAGATTATGTAAGGATGCTGAGGATAAATTTAAATGAATTTCTAATATTCGAAAAAAGTGTGTTTATTATAAACTCATTAAAAATTATACGAGAAGACAACATTTACTCTAATTTTAAAGAACTTTTAAACTTTTAAATATCGAAGAGAGGCATACAAAGAGAGAAAAAGCGAATTTATTGAGATTCAATACTAAAAATTTATTATGTTTAGTTATTATTAAATCTATATAATTGATTAAAATAGGAGAAAATAATAATAATATTGTATAAAGTTTGTTCCCAAACCCGAATATCATTTTTTTTCCTCCTATCTTTTTATTTTTTCCTTCACGTTTACTTGTTATATTAAACTGATGTTGCAGTTTGTTATCGGGAAATAAAAAGAAAAACACGAGATAAAAGTTCAATAAGTAAAAAGATTACCAACTCACCGTAGGCATCATGTAGAATTCTGTTGCCATAGTAACAACATTGAGTCCAATAACTGCTGCAATTGCTAAGTCGAAGTATTTACTTGTGATGATGTTGTGAGTGAATAAACGTGGCTTCGAATAGTTGATGTACCCCTGTACATCATACTTTTCCTTTAACATTAGAGTGTGCCGGTNTATTTAATCTAAAAATATATTTTAGTTTTTAATATCTTCGATTTACGATATTATTCAAAACATTATATATATATATATATCGATCAATTGGAAGAGAAAGCGGACTTAAGTGCTTTGTGCTGTTTCGTCCATAGTACAGGTCACAAGATGATAGCAAAGTAAATCAAGACTTTCCCTCACTAACAAGAACTAACTATAGTAAGTAATTATATAGAAAAATCTAAACTACTACTACTACTATTCACATTTATTAACTGTCTGAGCCTGGCTTATAATGTTCTACAGTCTATTAACTAACGTTGCGATTCTCATTTTTACACAAGACATATGGCAAAAAATTTCTAAATATTTTTAAAATTAATTTATATATTTATATAATTAAAAAATTATTTCTTTCTATTAATAATTTTTGAGTAATTTGTAATGAGAATCGCTTGATTAAAGAATTTTTTAGAAGTATAAACTAGTTAAAAGCATAAAGCAATTAAGGAAATAGAAAATATAAAAACCATAATTATAGTCTTACTATTGGAAGAATTTATGTGCAGAAAAATAGAAATTAAAAAATCTAGAAAAGTGAGACAGGATAGGAAAAAACGAAGAATAAAGCTAAGTGAGTAAGGATAAAAAGGAATAAAAGAACTAAATATGTGAAGATAAGCTATAGAGGTGGGCAGGCATTCACGGCAAGGCTGAGTGTTTCTTCATTTTCTCATAAAGATTATTAATTAAACATGAAAAAATGTAATTGAAGCAGTAATTAATTTATTTATTTATATATTTTTTAAATAAACTTTATTAATGTTTTTAAATTTATGAAGAAAACTTTTAATTCAAAATGTTTAGAAAAGTAAGTTTGATGCTGCTTAAATTATTTTTATATATGTATATATATTTAAAAAATTAATGTTTTAAATATTGAATAAAATAATTTTACTAATTATCGTTTTTGTATAATTATTTTTATATTTATTTATTTTAAAATTATTATTTTTTTAAATACATATTCTAACGACTGAATTTGTNCTTCTATACAAAATATTTAAGACATTTTTATACATCGAGGGAATCTTTAATACTTTATAGAAAACCCTATCATTGAGAAATTTCAAAGTAAGATTTTTAGATTCTAATACTCACATATATATATATAAATTCCATGATAAGTATGTAAAATATTATTTATGCATAAATTCGTGATGAATACCATTCATGAATTACAGATTTTCTGATGGCCAATTTAACAAAATGCAAGAATTGCCGAATGGAGTATATAATGGAAAAAGCAAATTTGTATATCAATTGAGAATTTTTAGAATATTTCTATAATTTTAATTTATAATTTTTAGCTTTACATTTTTTCTTAACCTGGTATTAAAATTACGTTTTTATTCAGTTATATATTACAAATATAGTGTGGTTTAACGTTGTGACGTTTCGTTAATGAATGAATTAAGGAATTATTTAATAAAAATATATATTTTTCAAATATATAAAGTTTCCCGAAAGTCAGTTAACCATTGTAAAGGCTAAATTTACGTAGTTACCAGCTCACAATGACCTCGACAGTTCAGGCACTCGCGGTATGTCTGTTATGAAATTCTTGAAATTCCTGCTAATTTGAACCACCCAATGACCAAAAAAATGAGAGTTCTGTTCTGCCCTGGTTTCACTTATATCTTTATCATGTTTCTTCACTTTTGAAAAAGAAAAACTCGTTCTAATCTCAATTCACAATTCACGTTTACAAGTGTGCTGGAACACACATAAAAGCACGGTTAACTGATTTTTGAGCAATTAAATTTTATTACGTGTAGATAATTTCTACGGCAACTTCTTGGATTTGTCTATATTAAAAACACGCAATTTTCAAGTAAGTTATTATCGATCAACTTCACTTACAAAATTCTAAAAGAAAACCCCGAAAATATTTATTTATTCTAGTAAAATGCTGAAAAATTCTAAATACAATACTTAAAGTTAAAATATTCAGTAGATATTAGGGTATTTTATCGTATATAAAGATAAAATATTCAATACTTGTCGCATAACATCAATTAAATTAAAACTGCTTTTATAACTTTAAAATAAAGCAAATAAATCAAAATATTCATCAATATTTAAAAGTTTTTTTTATATTATTCATCAAATATTTTGGAGTTTCCGCTTACATTGCAATATATACTGTATTTATAAATGTGTTTTAAAAAATCAAAGAAAGGATTCAAAATCAAAGTTTTCAGAAAGGAACGAATTGTACAGTTAGACAGACGAACAGACATAGAGACTTTCTAATTATAAACAGAATATATTCAAAACGTAAACGCATGCAAAATTATGAATATATCCACACGTATCTGTGACGTAATTATGGGGGGATGACATATAGTCCCCTCTATCTCCCAAATCCCTTGACGTTTAATCATAAAAATTTAATTGCATCAATTACTGTTGTATACAAACTTCCTAGAAAAATTTCAGAAATTTTCGACAAAAAGCCCAGGAGCTATTAAGCTTCAAATTTAGTGAACAAAATTGTGCATCCTATACATACAACAGCATTCAAACATAGGGAAAAATCCCCAACTTATTTTGAATTTATTAACATTTCAGGATCCTCTGAGTCCAAAAATGTAAAAAAGTTGGTCATAATTTTTTCTTCATTCTGATTGTGGTTTTTAGTTCATCATCGAAGTTCACCCCCAGAGCAAAATCTTAGTTACGCCACTGATACCTGTGAATATCATGATTGAAAAACATGACTATATGAACAATTATAAACGTATGCACAACCGCCGAATCCTGGAATGTTTGCTCATTCCGTGAAATAAAAATTTGCGTAATTCAGAATTATCCTAATTCATAAAATTCCCATTTTATATTTTACAATAAAATACAGACTTTTGTTTTTTATTATCGAGTTACGGCTTAGAAAACATCGAGTAAAGATTTACGTTAAATGCTATATTAGAGTTTAAGAATATATAATTAAATATATACTCACAGAAAAATCTCCAAAACAAGCAAAAATTATTGAGACATCTTCACAATGCCGGNAAATAATTTCAAGAATAATAAATAATAAATCACTTATTATATTTAAATAAATAATGAATCACACTTCAAGAGATTCATATGTAAAATAATAGAATTTAAATGAAATTTTAATTAATTGTATGAATAACAAAAATATGCGTATGTTAAAGTTATTAAATTATGTTAAGTATGTAAATGACAGTGATTTAATATGTTAGAAAGGTTAAAAGGTACCTTCATGATTCCATTCCAGTTATCTCCTGTGGCCACACGAAATAAAGTGAGGAAAGCCATTCCAAAATTCCTAAAATGAGCGTGTTCACCTAAACCTTGACACGGAAATATTTCGGTACATTCTGCAACGTAAAACAATTTATAATGTTTCAAATGTTTTCCTTTATTGAGATTGATACGAATTTGAGAATTTGAAAGAATAAAATTTACCAAGACGACCGAACAATTCCACTCCCAAAGCGGCAAAAATAAAAAATAGCAGAAAGAATAAAAGCCCAAGGTTCCCTACTTGTGGTAATGCCTGCATCACTGTATCTAACAGAGCACGTATACCTTTGGCCATTTTTAATAATTTCAATACTAAATTTCAATAAAAATAACAATTAATAAAGTTTATATATATGCCATTGCTACTTCATTGATAAGTTTGTTAATCAAAAGTGACAAGATTCTCATTCTGACAGATTCAAAATATAAATAAGATCAAAATTTGCTGACAAAATACGTTTTAATTTTTTTAAAATATATATATTTTACATAATACAGAGTGATTCAAAAAGTCCGTAAAAAACAGGCTACCAGAAGGGATGTACTTGTAATGTGTGTGCACATAACATCAAACATGCATTCAATTATATGGCGTTCACTAGATCACATTCTGTGACTGAAAATACAGTATAACCTTCGAATAGCGGACACCATAATCAAGAAGTTTGCCTGCTATTTAGAGGTAAATATAAAAGATGTCCTATTAAAAGGGTCTGTGGATTCTAAAACTATTCGTTAAGTAGAGGTGTCAGCTATTCAGAAGTGTCCGTTAATGGAGGTTCCACTATACAATATAATAAAATGAACTCCTTACTTGTATATCGAGACTTTTGAATCACTCTGCATAACAATAGATCAGACTTTCCTTTGTTCTTTTCAAAATGACCGGTGTGTAAAGTATGTATGTCTTGTAACAGTATAGATTTTTAAGTAAAATTTTAGGAATGAATACAGGGATAATTAATAAAAAACATAATAATAATTAACTGTAAAAATCTGTAAATATCTTATTATATCTATTTATGAATTAAAATAAATTCTACAAAATTAAACAAAAGATACTGTATTATATGTGTATGCAAATTAGGACTAGCTTGTGTGCTTTTCTTCACGTCTGTACGTTTCTGCTTATATAGCAATATAGTTAAGGCTTTTACGATTACTATATCTATTTTTATATATTAAAAAATTGGTTGCTATTAACACTTATTTCTTTGATATATATGAAAAGTTGGAGGAAGTAAACATATAAAATCATTAGATTATCAGTTCATATGTTTACATTGAGGCATAATCTTAATGCATTAAATAAAAATATCTGACGTCGTCATGGTGATCATGGCATTATGTAGTAATGTGAATTGAGTAAACTAACACAAGCATAGAGCCGCGTGAATGCATGCATCCAGGATGTTAGTCACAAGTTTTAATAGAGTGTATGAAGAGTTCGACTTTCTTTCTTCTCTATTTTCTTACATTAATTTACCACTAAGTTATTCACGTAACTTTGTAAAGTATAAAGTGTACGAGTTACTTAACCGTTCGTATTGTATCTTGTTTTTTAAATCATATTTTAAAATTAGTTTTCTAAGTATTTAAGTAATTAAACAAGACAGCAACGTTGAACTTACAAGGTTAATTGACTTTTGGGCCACACTTTTAATTTCTTCAGTTACATATCGTGTCAATTGGCTGCAAACTTTGATTTATCTTTTCTAAAAAGATTTCAGTAATAAAAAGAAATAATCTTTATACTTTCACTATCAATTTACTTCGGCTCAGTTGAAAGAGAAGAAGACATTTTAAAGAAATGTTTTAAAGATGTCCAAGAGACTTTCATTCTTTCATTTACTTTAATAAAAGTTTATGGTTTTAACATTAATTTTTTTTTTATTTTTAATAAAATAAATTGTTCTACTAAATTTAGTAGCATTTATATTTAAAATGTAAAAAGTTGTAAAATAAAATTATAAAACGGAACAAATTTACTGGAATTCGTGACATTTGGTTATTGGGAAACTTTGCTATTTAATGATTTTTTTTAAATAAAAAATAAGTGTTTAATGAATCAACTATATTAGAAATTGTCGTGTTACAAAATGTCAAAGGATACACCATGATTCAAACAGTTTTATGTATTAATCCATGCCATCTATTTAATGAAAGTAAGTAGAATAAAGTAATGCCAAATTTGCGTGTATAATAATTTTCTTATAACTTATACACCTTTAAAAGTAAGATTTTTACCTACTTTTAGATAAGCTGAATTAATCTGTGATGTTTATATACATGTATATACAACTTTAATAAATAAAGAATATATTTAATTAAATTATTATGATTTCAGTAGAATAGTAGATGATCAACATGTAATATATATTTATATGTTATTTTATATTCTTCAATACAATTATTTAAATATCTTTTACATTTTGTTTGACATTTAACACTTTAAATAGAAAAATTAATTGTTTAAATATTTAATCTTGACGTTTTAAAATTCATTGTAGTAGTTTCTGTATTGGAAATGATATAAACTTAGACAATATTTTGTATATTTTTTGTTTAAAATGTGTCTGAACATTAAAAAACATATTAAACTACTCTAAATCCCCTAAAATTACTGAATTTATATATTAAATTACTCTTTATAATCTAATATAAAATTAAAATTAAAAAAATATTTTGAAAGATAACTTATTTTCTGGCATTATTTTTATATACAAAATTCTGCAATCATCACAAATTATCCTAATTTTGATTAGCTGTTTAATATTTTAACATATAAATAATAATTTTTTTATTTAATTACTTAAAATAAACTAATTATTGCACGTAAAATATATGATACTGCCAATTTTTAATATGGTTAATTCATTTAAAAAAATATTACATAATTTTGACTTAATCCTCCATGTTATATACCATTTAATAATTATTAATAGAGAAAAATAAATAAATTTACAATATTTTCGAATAATATTCTATCTGGAGCTGAACTCGAACCTTTAATCAAGAATTAATTATTTTTTCCTTCATTATCCCGAGAAAGAGAGAGAGAGATTTTTAAAGAAATAATAATAATAATAATAATAAAACAGAACTTTTATTAAATTACAACATTGCTTTAAGGTTATGAAAATATTAAAATGAACAATGCAACAGTTTAAGAATATTCTTTCATGAGTATGTATGTGTGTCTGTACGTAGCTTCGGGGTCAATGCGTATATATAAAATGGACTCATATCTTTCAACTAGATGAATCACGTGGTTTAATAACTAAATATTCAGAAAATAACTTGAAAAGAAATATGTATATAAAAAAGAGAAAAATCTTTTTATATTCAAGTCTTTTCTATTGTAAAAAATTGATTTTTATACACTATTTCCTTGGGCAATAAATATTTATTTTTATTCATAAACATCAAAAGAGAAGAGAATATGGTTCAGGGAGTTAGAAGATCTTAGTAAATTTTAAATAGCTTAAACGATAGGAACGTATTTAAAAATATATTTACCTTTTAATATTTAAACGAAATGCAATATAATATATATATTTTTTTTAAATTGGTAAAATTTATTATTTGATAAAATATAGAAAACAAGATATTTTTATCTGAAATCAAAAGTTTTATCTTTTATTAAAATTTTAATTAAATTCATTTAAAATTAATAATAAAAGGTAATTTTATTAATATGGATGTATTATATATATAATCGAAATTTACTTTTAAGATAAAGAATGGTTTAAAACAGCAGAACGTTATATCTTAGAAAAACATTTTCAACAACGAGTTGCATAACTTTCCTGGCTGTTATGAGATTTTATTTAAAAAATAACTTTTATGTTATTAATAATCACAATAAATAAAATTGTATGTGGCTCCATCTGTTGTGCGATTTTGGTAAAAAACTTACAGAAAACAGTTAATCCAGATACATTTTTATCACTATACAGTACCTACATAAGGGGAAAGTAGGCTCAAATCGCGTCAGTTTCTATAAAAATGTGTATAAAATTTTTAAATGGCATAACAACGTCAATTCAATTATTCTATCACTAAGATACATATTTAGTCTACCACATATATATTTTTCAGATTTTTCACTTCACACAATTAGTTTTTATATAAAATTCTGCAAAAGGTAGCATTCGGAGGAGTAATCTTAAATTACATCAGAAGTCTCTAAAATCGCATTTATACTTAAAGTTTATTATTTTTCGAGTAATTAATATGCATTACTCACTAACACTTATTTTAATTTACTGTTCTTAGTAGTAAAAACTACGAAACAATAAAAATTGAATCTCATATACCAATTTTCGTGCACTTATAATCGTTTGAACGAATATTTTGTAATAGAATGACATATATTTTCCACACTTTCTTTTATTAAATAAAATGTGAATTAACAATACAAATCATTCTCACAAGCAATGATTTTCTAACTTTATAAAATAAAAAAAAATTAATTGTTTTTAT